CAATCCAAACAACCTTGAATTTTTTCAGATTTTTTGAGTGCTTCAGGCCTTCAGAAAAAATTATTGAAAATTTTGAAAATTCATATACGGCGCTACGATGCAATACAAAGCCCGATCTTTTTTTCCACTTATTTTTGACATCAAAATACATAACCTCAAATTTTTTCAGATTTTTTCAGACAGAGCGCTGGCGGTTTTTAGCCGAAAAACGCCCTTTTTTTACGAAAATAATTTTTTTAGGGCGATATGAAGCTTTAAAAAATCTGGAAAAATTTTTTTCTTGTTTTTCAGGTCAAAATACATAACCTTGAATTTTTTCAAATTTTTTAATTGAAGGCGATAGCATCTATGGCTAAAAAACGCTATTTTTATGAAAAACGGTTCCTGGAACCCAGAGGTTCCGGTAAAAAAATTTGAAAAAATTTTTTTCGAATTCCTTGTCAAATTTTAATAAATTTTGACCGTCGCAAAATTTCGATTGGAGCTTCCTAGCTCATTCTAGAGCATAACAAAGATTCGAGCGAAATTCTGAAGAAATTTGAAAAATAATGTAATTGTGATGAACGTCTTCAGAATTTCGCTCGAATCTTTGTTATGCTCTAGAATGAGCTAGGAAGCTCCAATCGAAATTTTGCGACGGTCAAAATTTATTAAAATTTGACAAGGAATTCGAAAAAAATTTTTTCAAATTTTTTTACCGGAACCTCTGGGTTCCAGGAACCGTTTTTCATAAAAATAGCGTTTTTTAGCCATAGATGCTATCGCCTTCAATTAAAAAATTTGAAAAAATTCAAGGTTATGTATTTTGACCTGAAAAACAAGAAAAAAATTTTTCCAGATTTTTTAAAGCTTCATATCGCCCTAAAAAAATTATTTTCGTAAAAAAAGGGCGTTTTTCGGCTAAAAACCGCCAGCGCTCTGTCTGAAAAAATCTGAAAAAATTTGAGGTTATGTATTTTGATGTCAAAAATAAGTGGAAAAAAAGATCGGGCTTTGTATTGCATCGTAGCGCCGTATATGAATTTTCAAAATTTTCAATAATTTTTTCTGAAGGCCTGAAGCACTCAAAAAATCTGAAAAAATTCAAGGTTGTTTGGATTGTTGAAAAGTATTTTTGTGAATTTTTTCAGATTTTTTAATTGCTTCAGGCCTTCAGAAAAAATATAGATAGAAAATGGACGTTTATACCGGAAGTGGGGGGTAGGAGGGGGGAGGGGGTCTAAAATTTTGGTTTTGGGTCTTTTTTACCATGTACTATAACATACCAAAAGCGCGTCAAGATCGGTGACATACGAGCGCAGGTTTATTTAAAAAATTCTGAGCCTTACCCATATATATGGAAGATAAAAAGAGAAAAAAAAGGTGGAAAAACGCGAATCATTTTTTAATTCGCGATTCGCGAGCTCTCTTGTTCCGTGGCACGTGTGCTGCGCCAGATGAAATGACTTCATCGACTACGACATTTATTATTATATCATTGCGAGCAGCGCACAATGCGCTCACCGAGAGCTCGTAATAAGTTATCCTACATAACTTATATAGCTGTGTAGATCATGTATATGGACGAAAAACTTCCTGGTTCGTGAAATGTGTGACATAAATTCGAGTGTGTGTAACGGAGAGACAAAGATATCGACTATATATACGCAGAGGTGAGCAGAGCAACGACCAAAAAAAAAAATTTCATCTCTTTCTCGAGCGAGCGAGACGGAGACAGAGATGTGGTTTATGCAACGTGCCTACAATTTTAGGCTGCCCCGTAAAATGTGGCTATTTCGACAGTTTGCTTGGATATATAATACATAACCCCACGCGCGTCATTGTTGTACGCTTAGACGCGTTGCGACACTTTGGTATATGGGGAGTCAATCGGTACTTGTATGTATTATATGTGTGCCACCAGGTACAAAGGCGAGATTAAACGAGAAACTCGTGAAAATTTCATCGAATCGCGTGTGTGCAGGTATGCATAATGAATGAATTACGCCTGCATTGGCTCCGATCGAAAAGTACACTATCTCTTGCCTCTATCTCTTCCACTTGTGTATTATAGGCGTCGAGAAAGGAGGAGAGGTTTAAAAGCTAATTAGTGTGTATATCTGTCTAATGTCTCGCCGTCGTTTCTCGCTACTAGGCTTTAAGTATATACAATGTGTACACCTGAAAAATTGTGTCAGTCGGGATAATTCGTTTCACGTTTCGAAAAACGTGATGGAGAAAAAGCACAGGCACTCGCGCGGCGACGACGAGACTCTCGTTTAATATATATATGCATGGTATAATAAAATATCTCGCGCTTCGAGACGTTCTTTTTTTTCTTTTTGTTTTAAGCGAGATCATGAACGGCGCACGACGACGAAGAGATTTTCTAACGAGTTTTTATGATAAAACTGCAAAATAAGCAGCGCATCGATACCTTCTCATCCTTGATCGCTAATTACATAAATCAACAACGTCCCATATACATTACGCCTCTTTATTTTTTTTTAACAAACGCATAGACGCGCACACACGTGCGTACACATCTAATATGTGCATGTAACTTTCATAATTATAGTCTGTATCTGGTGAAAAAAAAATCGCGCGTCGACAGCATCTCAAGATCGGCCAAGGACTAAGCGCGCAGCGAAAGGAGCAAGAGACAGAAAAATTAGCGAATAAAATAATCGTATTTTCCTTTTAATCACTTGGATCGATTGTAACGACCAGATAGTTGTGTCGAACGAGGGCTCGTTTATTCGTTTATCATTTCTTTTTTTTTATTAATTCTCTTCTTTTGCGCCGATTACGAAATATAGTTAGTAGCAACGACCAACAACTATAAACTCGATTGTTATTTATTTTTATTCTTACTAGCGTGAACTGCTGTCTATTTGATTACACGTCGTAAATTTTTCGGAGCTTATCGCGTTCGGCTCGAACGCGTACCATAACAGTGCCATTTTTAATTGTATAGACGAAAATTTCACTGAGATCGCGTGCGAACGCCAATCCTCTCTCTCTCTCTCTCTTTTATTCGAAGCGCTCACGTGCCTAACGCGAATAAAAAAAACTTTTAATCGGCATCGTCGTGCTCGCAATCGTGTACATATGTAATTCGCGCTTTTTTTTCTCCCTCTCTATACTCACTTACTCGCGTCTCGATAATTGCACACTGGCTGAAAAGTGAAAATTTTCGAGAAATCCGCACGAGCTCTCTGGCGATCGAGATCGGTTGATAAATTAACAAATCGGCAGGTATTATATAGACGAGCGGAGAGTTGGCCACCAAACTAGGAAAGAGATAAGAGAAGGTATTCACGTGACTTTTTGCTAATTCGGCATCTTTAGCTAAGTCACTCGTCACGCGACGAGTGTCGGGTGGATATAGCCGGGCGCGATCGAGGCAATTGTATAAGGTGGAAGTCACCCAATACACGTTCAAATTAATCGAGGAAAATTCAACTGTACACACAGAGGAAGGTCTTTAGCTAGCTGTGTAATATAAAGAGCGCAGAGCTGCCTGTATTACGTCGAAAATGACAGAACACACACTCACACACACTTGTGTATGACTCTACTCGGAGTTTTGTAACGAGTCTTCATTTATCAGTTGTATATATGTATAGACTCGTTACATTATATATATACTCCGAACGTCAAACGTGATTAGACTCGCGTTACATTCTCATTTTCATTCATTCATTCGAAATGAAAAAAAATATAATAACGAAAAAAATAAAATAAAATAACTCGAGAAGCGACAGCGCGCTGCGCTATATTATTACGCTATATTATACAGATACCCAGTACAGCCGGCGAGCAATTCTGTATTCCGTATGTATCGTCTTGTATATTTATACATAAATCGCATAAGAAATACGTACGCATTCACACCAGAAGCAGCAGCAGCAGCACAACACAACGTACGCAGACATTTGGGATTCAGCTCGACCGGATGCGGAGCGAGAAATTTTTCTCTCCGTCGGGGCTACTCTCGGGACTTTGCGCTTACTATATACACTTTGTCCGCCTCTCGTCGTCGTCGTCGCGCATTTTATGTATATAAATAAAACGGTCTTTTCGAGAGGCGAAATATATACAGATACACGGACACTCAAATGCGAGCGTGCATAAATATCGTGGAGTTCCTGTGTGTGTATGCGCGTCGAGATCGATATACCAAGCCGCTCGCGCAAATCATGCACGAAGGATTTTGCGAACGATGACTACTATATATGCGACTACGCGCGCGTGCCGATCGTGCCGTGCTTATTTATTTATATTTTAATAATAATAATTGCCAGTATATGAGGGAAGTGCATAAAAATAAATATCGCCACGTCTGGCGCAGTTCTAGAAAGACGATCTTCGAGAACTGTCGCGTATACAAAGAAGCGATATACAATCCGATCGCTGCTGTGTATTCGATTATATATTTAGACGATGAGATAAAAAAATTCAAAATCTGGTAGATCTAACGCTTCCGCCTACTATCGAATACATTGTAATCTGAGTAATAGGAATTTACGTCGAATAAAAATATGTTTGTTCTACGTATTTCATCCCGTTACCGAGTTATGCGTCCGTAGTAGTAAGAAGAAAACGTGTAACCAAGTGTGATCTGCAGCTCATGGAGAAAAAACCGTTGGTTCGAGAGTGTGAAAAGTCGTCTGCACCGATCTTTCTCCGTACAGCTCTAGTCGCACACGCGATGAAATTCGCATCATTTCCATGCATTACGCGTGCATCTCGTACCAACAACATAGACATGAACAAACTCGCTCGGCTAAAAATCGGTCGCAGTAAAAAAACCGTGTGTGCGTGCGAGAGCGCGCGAACGTCGTTCTATACACATTATAATGGAGACAGCTCGCGCGCGGCGTCTGCTCGATATTATTATCCGTCGCGTCGTCGCGGTTGTATATAAACGAATACACGCGCACATACAATAACAAGCAAGTATTAAAGGTATATACACATGTATACGTAGCTGGTGGTAAATAGAGAATGTCACTTACCCACGTGCGCGAGATCGATGACCGGCAGCTCGTAACGACTCAGCATGGTCTCGCGTTCCGGCTTGGGCGTCATCACGGCCGGCTTGCAGTAGCTCCGGTCGAGTATCTGCTGGTTCAGGCTGTTGATGATGCCGAAATTGTAGCCGTAGGTCTCATAATCCATCTCGAATGAAATTTTTACGCGAGCACGAGGTCGACAATAACAATAACGACGAAGACGTCGAGTAAGACCCAGCTATGACTTGGTCGTAGTTCTGCTTGGTGGTCCTTCGTCTAGCGAAAAACCTGATGATGCTGGATGATGATCTGGATGTTGATGCGCACATTCAAGATGCTGTGTTGTATACAATTGGCGAGCGACGAGCAACCAAAAGAGTCGGAACTGAGCACGTTTTTCCGGGCCAGAGGAGAGCAACTATACTAACACTACAGTACTAGTACTGTATATACTGTGAACTACTACCACTACTAACTGTGTTGCTGCTGCTGCTGCTGCTGCTGCTGCTGCTACTACTACTATTACCAATGCTGTATCTGCTTCTTCGGGTGTCTAAAGGAGACTCTTTTCTTTTCTCTTTTGCTTTCTTTTTTTTCTCGCCGCTCTATATATACATAAGCGGCGTGTATCTCTTCTCTCTGTGTATGTGTGTGTGTGTGTATGGTAGACGCAGCAGACACAGACACGATCAGGCTCGGCACACACACAGTGTTCCTTCACTCTCTTTCTATCTTTCTCTCTCTCTCCCGCGCACGCACTAAACGCACTTTTATATATGTCGTGTATGTATACACACACCCGCCGACACACTACGCGTAAGTGTGTATGTGTACAATACGAATTCTATATATGTACATGTGAGAGAGTCTGTGCGTTGCTGCGGCTGATGCACTTTATAATATTATCATAGGCTCGGACGCGCGAGAGATGTATCTTTAACAACTCCGAAGCGATGCGGGCGCCTCGTCGTCTCTAAACAAAAACAAACAACAATAACACGAGCGACGTCAAAAAAAGGGAGTCGAGCCGTGTTATTATATTAGCTTGGCGGTGGCGGTGTTGTGATCGATATATATATCACAATATACAGCTGTTGTCAACTTGCTGCTGTTGCTGCCGCTGCTCGACGTGCGTACAATATGCAGTTGAGGATTTTGGTTGCACTAGTCGACGCTCGAAGCGATGAAGAACCGGCGTTTTTCTCATTCATTTATTCTATACGTTTGTAGGATCGTTGTGGACGTATGATGCAGAGACGAACTGCGTCTGTCCGCGGGCGCAACTTTGTTTTACTTTATTTTATATATGCTATATATTACACACGATACACTGCGTATGTATGTACTTTGAGCGCGTCTATTTAAGTTTGTGCGTGCGTGTGTGCTTATGCTTGTGTGTGCGTGGGTCGCTTTTGTAAGTGTGTATATAATATATATTTCGAAGTTTTGTTTCGCGAGTGAGTTATCGTAGCGGACGAGCGCGAGCAATAAACTAAACTCACGCCGCTCGAGTCTCGTCGCGTCGAGCTGACCAAGTCGTCGTCGAGCTCTTGGCGTGCGGCGCGCGTGCTGCTGCCTCGTTGCCAATCGTGCCTCGCTCACAGGGTGGGAGAGAAGGGGAAAAGAGCAGCGCCAGCAGACTGGGGAGATCGAGGGGAACGCACGCAGCAGTCGAGAGAAAACGCGTTTTTGAACCGAGGATGGTTTATAACGGCTCTCCACACTGTGTATATACTTTATACTCGCTATAAATATGTGTGTGGTGCAGATGTGTCCGTGTGATATTCGCGGCATACACACCCGTATGGCCCTGGTCAACTTACACACGGACGTTTGGCACGAAAAAAAAGCCATGCGTGTATACGCGCGTTCGATTGTGATTTTTTTGAATACGATACGATGCGATGAGTGGAGCGAAGGCTGGTGGGGAGGGGGAAGTTCGACGACGTATGCGTCTGGCTAGGCGGCAACGGCATTGCAGCAGCTGCGGTGGTATTCGAGGCGCGCTTCGGGCAACTTTTTAAAATGTGACGATTCATAGAATTGCCGGATGATGATCGGTTTTCGATGAAAAAAACAATGCACATTTCGAGGCTTTCATCTTGGATCGACACACATGGCTCTCTCGTTCTATTCTGGTCGATCCGCAGAGCAACAAAGTCGTCGTATATTAAGTACATTATACTTGTATGCGATTGCGTTGCATATACATGCACACATGACGACTGCACGACGGTGACGGCAGGCACTTCTCTCTCCCTCTCACTTTTTCTCTTTCTCCGCGTGCGTGTCACTACGTATACGCGAGAAAATGAAATTAACATATCTTTAATAAAGGCTAGGCAACCTGAATACTCCCCTGAAGCAGGCGCGGAAAAAACAATGCCGTCCCCGCCACCATTCCGTCGCTTCGTCGACGGCGAGCCGCAGACGCGAGCAGACCTACTTATATTTAAACTCATTGTTTTTATTCTTGGCTTGTGAGGCTGCTTTTTTTATTACATTGATAGTTATTGGCTGCCTCGGCGCCTCGAGGCGCAGATAACGCATTTTTCCGCACCTGTGTGTTGCAGGAGGGATCGAAGCCAATCGAGAATATGAAAAAATGGAGCCCCTCCAGTTGTCGCCGCTTAATGGCTAAACGATTATTTATCGATATGAAATTATTTAGTCCGAGGTTTGATATGGGAACAATCTAGAAGTGGGAAAAGTTGTTACATTTTTACGTGTAATTGTTTGGCTTTATGATGCCAATGTCTAATTTCTCGCCGCGCATAGCCCGCAATTGGAGTGAGAGAGAGAGAACGATAATACTAGCAAATTGCCGCGTAGAGAAACAAAAGGAATTTTTGCGCGCAAGTGTGTTATGTAGGTTCTTGACATTTTTTTGTTCGTTACGATAAACACACGTATTTTACATGCGCGAATAATATTTGCTCTCTCTCTCTCTCTCTCGTGGCCCACCAGCAGCGGTAGCATACTTTGCCGTCGTGCTCGGGGCAATTATGTTATCCGCACACGCGTGCGCGGATTTTGCAACTCCAAACTCTACATGTCTCCGCGTACGAAAAAAAAAACGAGTCGGCGCACGTCAGTCATACGTGTGCGTAATAGTCGGTACGGGGATATACATGTATTCTCCATGTGATACGCTTCCGACGTTCCGACGGGAAGCTCATTACTGATGGAAACATATTGTTATGATTAGCGATACCGAGGCTCTCTTGTACTAGCTATGATACGGCAGTGCGGCTAAACCAGCAAGAGAGACGTCGATTTTTTTCTCCTCTTTTTTTTGACACGTACGAGTACGCGATGATTCAAGTCGAGTTTCTCGCTTTAGTTTTTGCGGCGAAAAAAAGTATTATTTTTTTCTTGAAAAATGAGTGGCTGGATTATTAATAAAGTAGGTAATGACAATGGGAAATCATATACCATTCTCATACTTAAGCTGATGAAACATTTGCTTCCCAACTCTTTAACTGATATAGAAAGTCATTGCATTTGCGTTACATTTTTTTTCAATTAATAATTGATAACACTCGCAATGTGCATAACTTTTTCTTTATACACACCGCAACCGTGTTTGAATGTTGCTCGATTTTTATATATTATTAGCGGTTACTCGTAATAGCCAAGTTGAAAATTTCATTAAATCGTAGAATTGCGTACGCGCACGTATGTGGGCCCCACAGCGAGCAAACGAGATCTCTACATTATCTTTGAAATTATATTTTAATTGTGCTCATTCAATGATACAGATTAAGACTAATTATGTTTTTTTATATGTATTCTTGCCGGGGCTTCGTTAGTCGTTACATTACTCCATAATAGACATTGGGAAAGTTTTGTTTTTCATCGATAATCACAGAGATTTCTATCGTGTCGTTTTTTTATGTATTTTGAGTGTCGTAACTTAGAATTACATCAGATTAAAATCTTAATAGACATCTATCAGTTAAAAACGTCGAAAAGCTGTGTCTTCTCGCACCTCTTTAACACAAAACAAAGTATTTTAGAAATTCGATCCCTGTATCGTGTCACCTCTCTCACCGTGTCGAATCATCGTACAATATACTTAATTTTATCGTAGCGCCTGATGCAAGGCAATCCCACCTCGTCCCGCGTATAAAAATCATCGTACTGCATGATCAAAATCAGCCGCAGCTCATCATGCCACGATCTGTATTAGCGGTGGTCGATTCTCCTCGCCTGCTCGACGGGCTAGTCGCCGACGATTCGCCCTCGGAATTGCTGAAGATCGACGTAGGCGCCGCATCGTCGTTCGTGCACAACGACGTTGTGCTTTTGAAAAATTGCCGCCGCCGATACCTCGACGGGGGTAGCAGCAGTTTGGAGCTGCCGCCGCGGCTCGCGGCCAGTCTCAGCAGACGCTGACGATTGGCTTTTCGGTATCGGCGCAGGGATGACTTTGCCGATTGCCGTTGCGATAGGTAAGCGTCCGAGCTGGGCGTACAAGACGACTCCCAGCAGGAACACTCGGACTTGTAGGCTTCCTCCGTCATTTTCTTCACGATCTTCGATTCGCAAAAAAAGCTCGTTTTATCATCGTTACGCGTAGCGCATGAAAATTCTCGTCTAAATAATCATTACTCTGCACAAAAGGAGGACGAGCAAAATCTGCGAGAAGATGACGAGGGCCGTGACGAGATAGCCGACGACGGCGAGCCTCAGCATTACCGCAGCGATCGCCGCGGCGCATCCACCCTGATTCAGAGTCCTCGGATCGATCGGACTGGCAGGGGCGCACGGCACGAGGATCCATTTGGCGCAGCAGCTGTAGGGCACTCCGCGGTCGACTACTGTTTGGAAGTCCATCCGTTGGGTCTGCTCGTCCTCGAGCTCGATGGCTCCATCGTCCACCGCCGCCGCCGGTGGGTAATCGTCTTCTTCCTCGCTGTCGGCGTAGTACATCGTACCGATTTTTTCCTGAAAACACAAGGATATAAAAGAGCGACGAAGATTGGTCAATATCGAAGAGGAGTCTCAAACCTGCCAGTCGACGCCGAACCAATCGCTGTAGGAGGAAAATCCGCAGCACTCGAGATCCAGCTGCAGATCGTCCACGGCCAGCTTGTGGGATGCTTCCTGAGCGTAAAATTTCATGGACATCCTGAAGACCTTTTCGAGGCTCGACGCGTCCGTGTCGACGTGCACGGCTATCAGCACGAGGGTGACGACGTTCAGAGTCACGCAGAGGCACAGCATACAGATCCTGCGGCGCAGCCGATCCTTGGCCGAGTCGTCGTCGTCGTCGTCGCCACAGGAGCTTCGCCGCCGTCTCAGAGCGTAGAGAGTCGCCACGGCCACGGGAAAGCCAAGGCCGACGTCGCAGAAGCTCACGAGGAGGGGCGCCAGAGCACCGGCGAAGCGCACCGGCCGCGAGTCAATCAGCATCTCCAGGCTGAGCAGCAGCAGCCGCTTGATCTCGAGGATCGACAGGCTGAGGGCGGCGCCGTGGCCGAGACGCGTCTCCCAGTCTCTTCGCGGGGATTCACCCTCACCGCCGCACTCGGTGCCGGACGACAGAGGCGAATATTCGGTGGCGTAGTCGCTGTTGTAGCCACTGCAGCAGACTCTCGACTCGACGGCATCGAGGATTGCCATTCATCGGCGGCAACTCGTTGGATCATGACTCGTGGTGGCGAGCTACTTACGGGGCAGAGGTAAAAGGAGAGGCGCATCGTTACACGTGCTCGACGGAGCTTTAATTACTGTTATTATTATTATTTTTTTTGGCATTCTTTCGTAACCACAACAAATCGTTATCGATGACGACACACACATTGACACTCACTGAAAGTCATGCTGCACTTTGGATAAAAATTCATCAATATCGATCGTCACGCAGGACGGCTGCGAAAATAGCTCCTCGGTGTCGATGCTGTATCTATATACGCACTCTTCAGATCACGTTTCTGATATTAGGGCAGTCGCATCAATTTCAATGAATTTTTTATGTAAAAAAATATATAAACAATAATATATAGCCTATAAAATTATGCTATAAACGTATTTACGTATTTTAATCACAGCACGACGATTATTGTACGACCGACCAGAAGTTAAGCCCAAAGCAAATACGATATAGATCGAATGATCTCGAGCGAACTTCAGGCTTATTTTTACAACGGATTGACATTCAGCTTATTGGCCCCGAGCGTTCACACAGCGCGGCGCTCTCTCATGTTAATTCTCATAAGAAAAAATTTAGTTCGAGCGGTCGACTCTGGCATTTTTTCAGGACACGTCCTGCTTTTCCATAAGATTACGTGTAAATGGTGACTGCAGCGGCCCTCTAAGCTCCGCCCAAACGCTCAGAGGGAATAGTATAGATTTTCTTTGACTTTACTGGGTAAATTTAGCAACGGTATCGATTATCAGAACTTTGGGGTATCTAATTATTCTATAGCTGTTGTATAGTTATGATAAACATCTACTATTATTTGAGGTAAAGTCGAGAATAATATCAAAGACTTCTATAAGAATTCCTATGAATTTTACAGAGGGTAGGTGTGCACCTACGACTGTGACAATTACTATTCGCATCTCACATTGATTCGGCTGGCGCGTGACATTAAAAGGAGAAATTTTTATAAAAAAATATTTAATATCTTTTTTTTTAAGTCCAGTGAAACAAAACAATCGTTATAATGTTAAGAGATCAGAATTTAGAAACGGATAAATTTTTCAATGGCCCTTTGTACCATCTAAACAGGAAGAGCTTGATACTAGTCGGTGGCTGGCCTTACCTTAACCCGAGGAAAAGAGAAATCATATGGTGCACTCTCAATTTGGCCATATTTACCGCGTGGGTGCCAGAGGTATAAATAAATTCATTGGCGATTGAATCGTTAAATGTAAGTGATAAATTTTTATCCCGCCAGTTGATTTATATCATTGAAATATTCGATGATACGCAAAAAGTGATCTACTGCACGATGGCGTTCCTGATCTCGTACCTGGCTTTCTGCGCGTCGGTCAATGCTGCCGTAAACCACAACTCGGTGAGCGTATGAAAATATTATGAGCTACTGTAAATGAGTGACACAACAATTTTACAGATGAAGCAAGTACTCGATTCTTTAAAAGACAATTGGAATGATCTACAGAACGACGAAGAGCGAGAGATTTTCGAGAAATACGCGAATTTCGGCAAGATCTTCAGTATTGGCCTGTCGGGTACAAATGCATCCCATTTTTACCTTACTACAATTAAATTGCATACTTTTTCAGCTTGCTATACTGGAAATTTATCGCTGTACTTCGTGTCGCCGCTGATACCGTCGATGCTGCATTTCCGCGCCACGGGCAACTGGACCACGCCCGAGAGAAACTTCGTCGAGGTCGAGTACTTCGTCGACCCGGTCAAGTACTACTGGCACATCTACGTTCACGGGGCACAAGCCGGCACCTGGGTGGTTTGCCTGCTGATGGCCTACGACTCGCTCTTCATCGTACTGGTGCAGCACTGCTGCGGCATGTTTGCCGTTTTGGGGTATGTGATAAAATTGACTTTGGAAAATTCGTAATTGAAAACTAGATAAGAGGATTTCGTTACAGGTACACAATTGGAATGATGGACAAAGAAGTTCATGATCATCGTCACGATCAGCAGTTGGTTGTAGAAAAAATTGAAAAAATTGTGATGTACCATCTTCACTGTCTTAAGTGAGTCTCAGTTGAAATTTCATACTGGGAAAATGTCGAGTCACTATTTGAATCCAATAATTTAAAACCCTCAGATTCGCAAAAAAAATCGAGAATTCCTTCTGCATGCAGATGATACAGCAGATAATGATCAATACAATTATAATAAGCGTATGCGGATCACAAGCCATAAAACTCGCGGACGAGTCTCTGCAGGAATCATTGAGATATTCTTTTCTGGCCGGTACGGCAATTTTTCGTCTGACTATTTTCAATATCTTGGGACAAAGCGTGTACGATCAGAGCCTTCGGGTGCACGACTATTTGTAAGTTTGGACCCTTTTAAAAATGTATGTACAGGCAATTTCGAGGAAATCGTACATGATTTTTATGTCAGAATGTACACCACTTGGTACGAGTACCCAATGGAGACGAGGAAATCATTCATAATCCTTTACAAAAGAAGTGCCAAGCCTTGCAATCTCACGGCTGCTAAGATAGTTTGCCTGAATCTTATCACTCACACGAAGGTATTGGACTCGGTTTGAATAGAAATGTTTACAAATTAATCGATATAATGAATACTTTCAGCTAATGAAAACGGCGATGACTTATTTCATGATGATTATCCAAACGTCGTGAGTTTTTTTATTCATCAAATTCACGAGCACAAGTTCTTGAATGATAATAACAGCTCAGGCATTGTTGTTCAATATTGGGCCGAAGTATTGACTCTACGCTCGTGTTTTGGTTGAATGTAAATATTTGTATGTTGCGGTATTTTTTTGATGATAATAAGTACGAAGACGTTGTTTCCTTGAATAGGAAACTAATTTATCGACTAATTTTTTGTTCCGTATAAATGATATCAATTGATTCGATTGAAGTGCGACGTTTCGTGCAAGAATTTTTCAATAAAATAAAAACCGAATTAAAATTTCAACGAGCTTCTGTAAGGGAAAATGCTGGTTTGCGACCCGAAAAAACGGCTGATGAAAAGCTAATTCTAAAAATATACTTTTCTTATTTTTATAAGTTCTTTAAAAATTATTTAACTTCAAGTAAAACTCATGAAATATAATATAAAATTTTCTATATTTGTCTATAATTGTCTATAATTGTCTATAAATTGTCTAAAAAATATAATATATAAAAATTGTCTATATAAGTAAAAATCAGCTTACTGGGTTACTTGGCTGTAGGTACAATTCATCTTGATCGGGGGTCACTGGTTACTAATTAAACGGGTCAAGATCCTTATCTGCTGTTCTTGACCTAGAGTGGATAGTATACTATTCCATTTAGTGCAGCGTCCGAGAAATTCTATTTTCGGGCCGATAGTATAAAATAAAATAGTATATTACTGCCTTAGGTCGCGAAAAACACAAAATTACATGGAATGTGGAATTAGCTGCTGAGGCAAACCTTTACGAAAAAGGTTTTGTGGAAAAGTTTAAAACTAATGTGAAACGCCATGTTGATTCAGTGCATAATCGTATTACTTACCCGTGTGAATCTTGCGGAAAGACATTTGCACGTAAGATAAGTCTGAAATTACATATCGATTCGGTACACAATCGCATCAATCATCCATGTCACACATGTGGAAAGACATTTTCACAAAAAGGTCATTTAAGAACCCATATCGATTCAGTGCATAATCATATCAATTTTCCATGTCACACGTGCGGAAGACATTTACACAAAAGATTAATGTGAAAACCCACATTGATTCTGTACATAATCATATCAATCACCCCTGTCACACACGTGGAAAGACATTTTCGCAAAAAGGTTATTTGAAATCTCATATTGATTCGGTACACAATCGTATCAATTTTCCATGTCACACATGTGGAAAGACATTTTCACATAAGATTAATCTGAAACGTCATATTGATTCAGTACATAATCAAATCAATCATCCATGTCCCTCATGCAGAAAGACATTTTCACAAAAAAGTAATTTGAAAACCCATATCGATTCAGTGCATAATCGTATCAATTTTCCATGTCACACGTGCGGAAAGACATTTACACAAAAGGGTTATCTGAAAACCCATATTGATTCCGTACATAAAAATCGAAAACCTTATACTTGCGATGTATGCGGAAAGACATTTGCACAAAACATTCAACTGAAAACCCATATCGATTCAGTACATATTAGTATCAATCATCCATGTCGAACGTGTGGAAAGACATTTTCACATAAAGGTTATCTGAAAACCCATATTGATTCAGTACATAACAATCGAAAACCTCACAACTGTGATGTATGCGAAAAGACATTTTCACAAAAAAGTAGTTTGAATACCCACATTGATTCGGTACATAATCGTATCGATCATCCATGTCACATATGCGAAAAGACATTTTCACATAAGATTAATCTGAAACGTCATATTGTTTCAGTACATAATCAAATCAACTATCCATGTCCCTCATTTTCACAAAATAATAATTCGAAAACCCATATTGATTCAGTGCACAATACCTTATAACTGCCATACAGGCGGAAAAATTTCACGAATAAAAGTAACCTGGAAAAATTGGTTCGATACATAAACCTATTACTTATAAAAAATCCATGTTAATTTTGAACATAATATTCAAAACGCTCTTAATTGTAATGCATGAGCATTTGCACAAAAGAGTCGTCTAAAAACTCACAGTGATTGGATGCATAATCGTATCCATCCCACAGGACAAACATTTTCACAAAAAGGTTATCTTAAAGTTCATATTGTATCACACCATGATAATCGAAGACCTTACAACCGTGATGCATGTGGAAGACATTTGCCCATAAGTTTGCTCTGAAAACTCATATTGATTGAGTGCATAATCGTATTTATACTCATCCTCAGTGTAATATTTGCGGAAAGTTATTTGCATAAAAAAGGGTCATCTCAGCATCCATATTGACTTCACAGCATAACGATCGAAAACTTCACAACTGCAATTTATGTGGAAAGGCATTTAAATATAAGCCTGATCTGTAATCCCAATTGATTCCAGAATCAATTCCGCGGATCCACGCATAACTCTATTTCCTATTCTTATGACTTTTTTGGAAAGACATTAAGAAGCAAAAAATATCCCAAGTTGTATATTGATTCGGTGTATCATCATATTAATCGTCCGTGTAACAGTTGTGGAAGGTCATTTGAAATAAGAACCATTTGAAGAGGCATATCAATTCAATGCATAAGAATCAATATAGAAAGATGTTTCCACCAAAGTTTTAAATGCAACATCATATTGATTGGATATAATATCGTTACTTATCCATGTGACATCTAATGAATATCATAATGTCAAGAAAATCTGTTTTAAAAATCCACATCGATTTGGTGCACAGAAGAATATACATCGTATAATAATTTCAAGAAAATATGTAACAAATTATAATTGATTACAAGTTAATATAGTCATATTAATCTTTTTTTTATAATTTTGGTTTGTTTTCATTGAATCAATTGAAATTGAACTATTTAAAAAATAAAATTTAGTCATGTCTAGAGTACATTAAGAAAATTTCAAAGTTACTAGAATATGTCACTACAATATTCCATTCAATGGTTTTAGATTTAATAACATAATTTTGAAAATCAAAATTCTGGCAAATTGATGGTTCGTTTTCAGTAGTTTCAGTGAAAGCGAAATATATTGTATTTCGGGATAATAATTTGTTGTCAAAAATAGGAAAAAAGGGAAATTTTTATAAAGTTTTAGTAATGTAAAATATTCTAATTATAATAACTTTAATGCAATACACAACAGTAATAACATGCTTATAGTATAAAAAATATACAATCGAGTCGGTATAATAAATAATAATAATAATAATTAAAGGTGCTAGTGAAAAATTACAATGTACAGCTCATTAATTGATAATAATTGACTAAATAACAGCTAGACTACAAATATATGTAACCGTTCCACCTCTAACGCAACATGTTTTTTTATACAAAAATTTATATCGTCGTTCAAAATCACTCGTCCCGTATATCGCGGGAATGCAAATCGATCTCGGAAATAAAAGCGCACGCGTCGGCGCGCTCTTTCTCTCCTGCCGATCAGTCGTAATGAAATTTGTAAATGTTGACGTGGGACTTTTTCCTGCCGAACATCCAGTAGGCGAGGAAGGGAAACTTCTCGGTGAGGAAGATGGCCAGTCGCATCTGCGAGTTGAAGAAGCCGCGGAAGAACCAGGACCACCAGTAGGCCCGATGCATGAGGTAGCGATGCACCCAGGTCTGCATGCGCAGCATGAAGCGGCTGTAGGCGGGCATGCCCGCGACGTCGATCGTCACCGAGTGATTGTTGTTGGTCGCCGCCGAGACGGCGAGCTGCATCGTGAAGGCCGTGTAGGCCTGCGGGTCGAGATGGGGATTCACGGGCCACAAGCCCTCGAGCAGTACCTTGCCCATGGCCTCGAAGTTCTTGTTGCGATTGGCGAAGCAGGGCAGAAAGACGTGGTCGAGCAGGCGCCGGCAGAGAGCTCGGCACTCTTCCACGGTGCCATTGCACAGGTTGTATCTGTAACGGGTAAGTAGGCGCACGAATTAACGCGGAGATGAAAGAAAAAAACAACGACGGTAGGTAGCGGCGAAATTTTTAATAAGTGGCTTGGAAAATTATTTCTTGGAAGTATATAGCTAGAGCTAGCGAGAACAGTAAAAATCCAATTGGCTAAAACTATAACTGCAGTCCAGGCAGAAGCGGAGAGAAAGCTCCCGGTTGTGTGCGCATTATAATGGCTTTTCGCGGATATATGCGCGCTCGCTCGTTCGCTCGCGTGAAAGCGTCGTCCGCGCGCGATCTATGGTTAACGAAAAAAAGCAAGCAAGCCAGAAAGGTAAAAAAAGAAAAACGACGATCGAAGGAAGAGTATATCAAAGTAGCAATCATGTATTTTGTTTATATACCTCTCGTCCATGCCGAGCAATTGTCCGATGACGCGCCAGAAGTGTATGAGGCCGTCGAGCTCGGCCTCGGTGGTCTTGACGCCGAGCTCGTCGCCGCTGAGCAACGTGAAGCCGATGAAGCCGAACTGCGTCAGGGCCATGTCGAGCTGGGTGATGCGGCCCAGGCCGGCCTCGGAGCTGCGCCGCGACACGATGCAGTGCTTCTTGCGCACATTGTGCAGCGACTTGAAGAATCTGAGTAAAAAATTTTGGATGAAAAATTATATAGATACTGATTCGAGCTCTTCTTGGCACTCACTCGTTCTGCTGTATCGGGTCCTTCTCGTACCAGACGAAGGTGTGCAGTATGGTCGATACGTAGCGGCGAAACGCCGTGCACGGCGTCCCGCTTTGTCGCGTGTAGATGAGTATGTCGAGGATCGAGGGCACCGCCAATAAAGTGAGCAAGCCCGAGAGCTTGGCCACCATCATGCTGAAGACATTGTTGTAGAAGGCCTGCTGGCCCAGTCGGAACTTGGTCGCGTCGAAGTAGTCGGGCAACTTGAGCTCGTCGGACTCGCTGTCCGCGGGACAGGTTGCACCCTCCTTCAGCAGGATACGGAGTCTATCGTCCACGGCTGCGTCGAAACAAAAAATGATCGATAAGTTTACGAAGCAGATCGTTTACATAGAACGTAGTCGTAAAAATATCACGCAGCCCGCGTAAATTGTATTGAGCGAGCTTACACGCATGAAAAGTTCAACAGCTCAATGCAAGCTCTTCGCCTTTTCCATATGAGAACGTTTTTAAACTTGTGAACAAGGATAACTTTTTTTAAACGATTCAGTTTATAATTTTTTTTTAGTCATTCATAAATTGTCATTTATATTTTTGTGATGATTTTGAATTTTTTTTATCTATTAACACTTCGTAGAGATTTATTTTCGAATTATTTTCTATAATTTTAAAACTTTTGATATTGTTTGACTGTGATAATCTTGAAACGAAAATCCCTTGTAAATGCTACTACACAATGTAACTTATAAGACTTTCGCATTTGCTACAATACCTAACTAATTCAAAAAAACAATTGCAGAGCAACATTTAAAAATGTTGCAGTCTTAAAAAAAACTTGCCTATCAACTAATTACAATTTTGTAATCGTCGCGTTTTTTGTTATGCCAGAAAGACAGAGAGAGAGAGAGAGAGAGAAGTCCAATATAATTATGGGCATAATCATTAAAAAATTACCGTTAATTGTTTAGATTATCTTTCTTTGAAAAAATGGCGTGTACTCGACTAAGATTACGTTGAAACTAGCTCAGTTCTCCGATTGATTTCCATTTGTACGTTGAAGCAAACATGTCAGTACGAAATTTTAAAAGGCTTTGCTCATATTCGTTGCTTATATTCGTTGCTTGTATTATATTGCTTTTATTGTTCAATAATTATTCAGTGGTGGTATCTTCGACCGAATCGTACTTGAAAGAGCGCGAACGACTGATCGAAGCCGAAAGAAAGCTACGTTTCGGTCATGACGTTGATTTGACGTCGGACGAGATGACAGCCAACAAGTGTCTGATGAGAGCCAAAACGGTGGAAATCGGCAAAGGTGAGTGCGCGAAAATTCGTGCATACAATCTAGAAAAATCGTCCGATGTACTCTTTTTTGGCGAGAACTGCAGCTTTCCAACATCCCGAGGACTTTTTACCGGCGCAGAATTTCTTACTGGCGCGCGAAAAAATCAAGCTGTCTCGAGTCTTTGAGATCCTGCGTAAAATGCCGAAGGGTGGTTTATTTCACGCACACGGTCTGTCCATTCTGTCGATCGACAAAGTCCTCGAATACACACGCTTACCGAATCTCTACGTCTGCGTGAGCGGCGACAGACTTCGATTTCGATTCTCGAGGAGCCGACCAGCAAGCGATGACCGGTGCCGAGCCTGGGCCTCGATGGAGGAACAGAGGCGAAAAAATCCGAATTTTGACGAGGAATTGAAGCGGAAACTAAGGCTCGATCCGGCGACGACGAAGAGTCGTGAAGTTGGTCACGTCAATCGCGTTTGGAAATATTTCAGCTCGTTATTCCATGCGATTGACGCTATTGCCAACTACAAGTGAGTTGAGTAAAATCAAACTTTTTTATATCTTATTGGCTTGTTTTTTCGCAGGCTAGTTTACGAGAAATTCATGTACGAAGCTTTGCAGGAGCTGCACGACGACAATATCATGTTTTTGGAGCTGAGAAATGCTCTCGTTCCTCTATATGACCTCGAAGGTACGACCTACACCCGGGAGGATACTACAAGAATATTACTGAAAGTCGTTAAGCGGTAATTAGCTGAAATCGTTTAACGTAAACTACCGATTTATTGGCCATTTTATTTGCTTTCGTTTTAGATTCTGCGCAAATAATCCCTCGTTTTTGGGAGTCAAGCTCATTGTTGCACATTCGAAAAAAGCTTCGGTTGAGGAGTTGAAAAGCAAGATCGAAGATTACAGGCGAATCAAGGCTGCTTTTCCGGAATTGATAATCGGTTTCGATCTAGTCAGTCAGGAGGACGCACATCACTCGCTGCTAGACTACGGAAACGCGTTGGAGAGCATCAAGAACGAGACAGACTTCTTTTTTCACGCGGGCGAGACCAATTGGTACGGCAGCCGCTCGGACAATAATCTCTATGATGCCATCGCTCTCAATACCAGGAGGATCGGTCACGGGTGCGTTTTTTATATATCACAGATAATTTCAGAAACAAATCGTCTAATTGATTTTTGTTTTGCTTAAGTTATGCCCTGATCAAGCATCCAAAATTAATGGAGATCGTAAAAAAGAAGAAGATCGTCGTCGAGGTCAGTCCGATCTCGAATCAAGTGCTCAAGCTCGTGGCGGACATGCGCAATCATCCGGCCGCTCACTTCTTCGCCATGAATCTGCCCGTGGTGATAACGAGCGACGACCCGGCTCTCTGGGGTGCCTCGGGTTTGAGCTACGACTTTTACGAGGCGTTCGTTGGTATAATGTCAAGCGAGGCCGATCTCAGGGCGCTGAAGCAGTTGGCTCTGAATTCGATCAAGTACGGCAGCCTCAACGAACAGGAAAGGACTAGGGCGTTTCAGATATTTAACCGCGAGTGGATAAAGTTTGTTGTGGAATTGACTAATAGTTCATTGTGTGCAGATGAGTGATATTTAAATTGTATTTGGGTTATTGTACATAGAAATCGATTTATTTTTAGCCAAATTTTACTTCATTGCACTTGAACGTGACGCGTCTTTGACTTTAAAAATTCGTCCCAATTATTAAAAAATGAAGTTTGAGCAAGTTAAAAAGAGAAAATTTAGCGTGCGACGTTATTAAAATTAGACTTTAGTGAATTTTAAATGTTGAAGTCCTGTTTTTGGATACTATAAAATTAGATGAAAAAAAAAACACAACTTTACAGAACGTCAAAAGTAAACTTCAATTCTAGGAATTTTACTTCGCAGCGCTGTTCTGAAAGCGGCTGCATTTTTGTTCTTACTTTTTGTTAGACAAAAATGACATAATCGCCGACCGATGATCTTTTTTCTCGCGATTATTATGAAACGGAATTCGAAAGCCTCCGCCACGCGAATCTTCGCTTTGCATAGGGTTTGGTCCAGATACGCTTGGATTATTGGCAAAAAATACCGGTTCTCTCTTACATTTATAGCCGAGTTGATTTCGAATTTAATAAATGGGAATCTAGAATCCGAATAAGTTATTCTCAAGGTTTGGACGGACGCGCGCACCGGACGCACCGGACACACGAAGAAAAGGAAGATTCTTCAAAGCTTCGATATAACGCGAAGTTGCAACAGAAATTTGTGAGTGAGTACGTTTCGCGAGTTATCTATTCAAATCGCATCGGGGCGGGGAAAAACAATAGCGAGGCACACCGTACTTTTACGAGCACGAGAGACAACGAGCTCTATCTATGTAGATTTTTTTTCTACTCGACGTGTCACTTCACGCTTTCTACCTTTTCTCGATTATTATGGTTTCAGGTGAAATGATTTTATTATTATTTTTTTCTTTTCTTTTTTTTCCTTCGAATCTCTCGCACAGCAAAATTAGTTTTTCAAACAAATCGTTACGATGACGTACGTACATCCTATTACGACTTTTCAGGGGCACGGTAAAGGATCGTGATCGGCTCGGCGCAGCATAATTAAATCTCCGCAATTTACTCGGTAACGATGTCGGGCTTATTACAGTCGTAGCTCCGAACTATGTTTCGCCATTTTTTGAGATACGAAATTGCGCGCAATGTGGTCTCCACTGGTCATTTTTCGATCTCAATAATAATAAAAAAAAATGATTTCTTTCGATGAAAGTAAGAGCGCTGCTGCAGTAGAGCATGGCTCGGTACATAGCGATTTCCAACACTGCTACGTTGATTGGCATTGTTAGAACGAAAAAAAAAAATACACACAACAAGAACGAGAGTCGGGCGCGTGAAAAAACCGCGAGGAAGAAAGCGTGATCGGTGCAGCAAGCTGCAGCTGCAGTCAGTGTGTCCGTGTGCGGCAGCATCAGTGCAGTCATCGGTGCGTAACCGGCATGAATGCTTGTGTGTTATATATAGGTAAGCCGCGCGCGCAAGTAAGCCGAGGCCGCCAATACAGACGCACAGTTTAATTATTGGATGTGTGTGTACTTGGCTATATATATATGCGTGTCTATATAATAGAGGTGTCAGGCTAAGTGCAGCTGTACACAAAACCGAAGTGTGCTCCTCATCTATGCGCGACTTTACGTTATGTATGTTGTCACTTATTTGAGAGAATACGAGAAGACAGTCGCGGTCGTCGTTCCTATATATATATTTTGCGTAAGCCGAGTAGCCGCGCTCGGAGCTCGCGGGGCTTGACACAGCTCGCGCGGACGTTAATACAATGAGCACATAATATTGGGAAAACGTCGCGTCGCGCCGCGTGCCGCTATAAACATGTGACAATTCGATACTTTTTTACGGTTTTTTGTTTTTGTTTTATATGCATACTCGTTACAATATGTGTGGCAAACGAAGTATGTATTTTAAAAACTTCACGGCTGCAAAAGGCTTTTATGTTTCTTGGGCGAAAGAAAGACGATCACGAGACAACGTGGATGCATCCATATAGGTAGGCTTTATACCCATTAGCGTAGGCGCGTTAATTTTATCTCTTCATTCGCCAATGTGTACCAGCTCTCGAGCACACGAACAACTATTATTATACAGTATGACAGGTAGGAAAAACGGCACGAGCAGAAGATCTCCCTTCTAGCTTACCGATTTTTACTCATAATACTTCATGTGTACACGCACAAAAGCACGGTGAGCTGTGTAGATCAACGCCAATTTCGAATCGAGAGTAGACGAATTTCACTTTTTGATGATATGCGCGCAAAAAGGCACAGAAACGGATTTTGATTCAAGAGCAGCAGTGAGAGAGCTCGAGATTACGTTTAATAAAGCACGTATAGCTCCGGAATACATTCGCGCACATACATACACATACGAGCGATGCTTGTATTATTAAACGGCCGAGAAAGAGAGAAAATTACGAAATTATGACTTACGCATGTATACGCGCTTTACTTCAACTCTCGCAAAGTGTGCTTCTCGTCTTTTGAAAGAAACTACTACATTTTTGCACGTAGATCCGCGACTCCCACGAGACAACGCGCCGGAGGGTCTTTAATAAAAATAATGTATGTATCAGTTTTTTTCGTCGGATAACGGGTGCGTATTATACTTTTGTCGGTAACAAAATCAAAAGGTGTCCGAGAAATTGGTGAATAGCGTAAAATTATGCAACTCTGTCAATGAAAAAACCTGATTCCCTCGCCGCGGGTATATATAATTTATCCGACATACCGATTGTGCAACTTTGTACATTTTCTGTCGCGCGGACGCAGAACTTGAGAAAAAGAAGTTTCAAGCGAGAGGCTGCGGTGCGCACATTGCTGCCGGGCGCAGATGACATTTCGATGGGTGCGTATAATCGACCTACATTACATCGGCGTGCATATACGCGCCTTGTATACCATGTGCGCGAAGTAAAGTAACAAACGGAGATCGCTCGGAGAGAAAAAGAGAGAGATGAATGATCGACGGGGACTTACCGCTCGAATCGCAATTATTTTCGATCTCGGCAACCTTGATCGACTCGTTGATTTTGAAATTCGACGGAGCCATAATTGTCGCAAAGTATGTTAATGTATCACAGAAAGATTCAACAGATATATTCTTTGAGCTTTAACAAAAAAAAAAAAAATTTAATCATAACAAACAACTGAAACAGTCTAAGAAGATCACATCACACGCGAGAAAAACGAGTACTCGACGATGATTGTGTACATACACGAGGCCCCGTCGCGCGCGATGTACGTTGTGAGGCCCGCGCGCAACTACTACTATATACTACATACTACAACAACTGCTTCGGCTGCTGCTGCTGCTGCTGCTGCTGCTGTTGCAGAGAGGAGAAAGGTACACACGTACACACGTACACATGGGCGAGCTGAGACCGCGAGAGGCCAATAATATAAGAGCTACATTGCTCCCGAGGATCTCTGCTTCGTTGACTTCTCTCACTCTCCTCGTGCTCATGTGTATGTGTGTGTGTATGTATACCAGCTCCCTCCAGCTGGTCTTTTATTACACATAGTGATTTTATACATATGGGGAGCTCAGCTGTGTGTGAACTATTCATAGACTCGCGCTTTTTCCATCGCGCGGTGGCTGCTTTTTTCTATTAATAAGCATCGATCGGTAAGAGATCGATACTGTACGCGGGCGTTACCGATCTCGCGCTCTTCGAGTATAAGATTCCTCTTTTTTTTTGCGCGCGCGACCGCCCGCTCGCTTGTTTGAGAGAGAAAGCTATTGCTTGACTTTGACACCTCTCTTCCTCGGCACGAGTTTCGAGAGAGAGAGAGAGAGAGAGAGAGAGAGAAGAAAAAAATTCTCTGTTTGCTCGGTGCGAATTGCCGAGGTGCACCGAGTAAACACACACATACAGGGACGAGAGCGAGCATGCATACAATTCTTCATTATATGCAGACAATTTCACTTTGGCGGCGAGCGCGCGAGGAGAGAAAAAAAAACCATGCACCAATATTTTACGACGTGCCCACATACACACTGCAGCTTTGAGCGAGTGCAGTGCTCTATTAAATTTTTTATCTCTCGCATATGAAGTACGAAAGGCGAAGAGCGATGTATGTATTTATTCGCGCGCCATAACTATATAACGTATGTGTGGGATGTGTAATTGCGTTACGTACCTGCGTGAAAGTCCATTGTTAGAATCGCGGCAATTCCAATCCATGACGATCGCGACTCTGGCGACGAGTTTTATTATATTTCGGAGCTGAATCGCTCTCGGGCAGTTAATATTGATTATTTACATTATATTCTTCGGAGCGAGACGAGGGCACGAGTAATGTCCGCGCCATGACGTTACACATTTTCACCGTAGTAGACACGGGAGCACAAAAACGGCACAAATCCGCACGGTCACTCGACTTTTACACACGCGTACGGCGGCAAAATTTCACTCGCGTTCGCTAATTTTCTTTCGGAAATTGGACGAAAAATCTGTGCGCGCGTCGTCTCGTATCCGCCAGCTCCTGCTGCAGCTGCATAGACCACTACTGCACGGGCGAAAGCGCCGTCGTCGTCATCGTCGTCGTCGTCGTCTCGGCACATATGTGCGGAGGAGCGGGAAACTTGGAACGAAAGGGAAAGCTGCGGTGGATGCCGTGACTTAGCGGACTGCAGCAGCAGCAGCAGCGGCGGCGACGGCGGCGCGTCTAGGCGTAAACGAGGCACGCACACGAGCACATAAACTTTGTGCACTAAGCTAAACCTCGGGGCTCTATAATACGCACATGCACACGAGAACGTGGGTGAAAGTCCCCGCGTGCGTTGTGTCATTTGCCCGCGCGCGCGCGATATAAAGCATAAGTGATTCGTCTCTCAGAGATTCGAGCGGAAGCGTTGTCGCACTTCAGGGGGGACTGTTTACGTTGTGTCTTTTGACATATGAGTTTAATGTCAAGCGTGCGCGTGTGTGAGCTTTATACAGAAGGGTCGAAGGTGTTCGATTGATTTATACTCGATATAAATTATGCATTTAAGCTCGATAATTGGATCGGATCCAACGATTGAAATTTCTTCGCGCCCTATTACGAATGTACTCTCCACGAGATTAGCATCGAGCACGTAATGATCCGGATTGCACGTGTCTCTCTCGATGCAGTGGATAGCTGTTGGCACGGACGACGACGCCGCTTTGATGAAACTTTTATGCGCGCCGCGCAACGCGACGCGTCTTGCATTTTTCAAAGCTCGCCCAAGCAGAGACCCAACGAAACTTATTACCGCAGTGCATAATTTTGCTTGTTTTGCTTTTTGTTTCTTACGTATATACAGAGGGCAAAATTGGTAATCGATTAATTGAATAAACAAACGAAAGATTGTCTTTCTTTTTAAAATTTTCTTTTTATTTATTCAAATGAAATGCATCAATAATCAACTTTTTTCTAACTTTGGAAAAAAGAAACGTAGTAACCGCTTTTTTGTATAATACATGAAAAGTACAAGAGGATTACATTATAAGATCTAATTTTCTTTTTCGAGTCAAACATTATTAAAAATAATCATTCTTTAAAATTAGTTCATCGTAAATCATACAATTATGTATAATGAGAATGTAATTATCATAATAAAGTGTATTTCATGAGTTGTAAATCGAATACTGCAACGCATTTAAAATAATAATATTAATTATAATAAAAATAATAATAGTAATGATAATAATAATAATAGCAATCAACAAATTACAATAAAATCAAAATCAATCAATAGCGATGAGGTGGCGTTCGATTGCCAACCAATAAAAGTAGAATCGTAGGAAAAAAGTTCATCGTCACGGTTTTACCGAACATCGCTTCACATTACAATAATTCTTTTTTCTGTATTATTAACATATTTACGATCTTACAATAAATATTCTTTTTCTCTTGATATCTCTCTTTTTCTTCATTTTCTCTTAGTTTCACTTTCGATCGAGATAGTTAGTTTGTAAAAAAGTGAAAAATATTCAACGCAGTCGAAATTAATTATGAACGAATGTACACAAATCGACAAAATAAAGTCATTGATTAATTACGCATTCGATAAACGTAATTACGTGATCAACTCTTATTAATAATTACTTCGGTATTGTATAAAATTGCGTTTATTCGTCTCTAATGTGTTCTCTTCAATTCGCAGAAGAAATATTGGTCATACATTTATTTTAATTTAGTGTGTATTAGCTTTTATATACATTGACATTTTTCTTTCTCGATTATTCAACGCGGTATCCTGGTCGAGGATACGAACAAAAGCTGAATTTGACATTTTTACTTTAAATTGAAAAGCACCACATGAAATATTGTTGTTTCGTTACAAAATCATTTTTACACAAAATCAGCTGCTTTCGTTACAATAACAGTATTAGACACAATAAAATATTTAAAAAATATGTATAATGAAAATATGCAGGTAAAAAAGGAACGAAATATGAATCAATATAAAATTCGATTACAGAAAATTCAATGGTTTAACAATAATTATAAATTAACAATCAAACATAACTAAGTAAATATGTAAAGTAACGAAGGCTGCTGCTTTGCCGGAAAAAGAACGGTAGTCGATTGCCTATAACATTCCTATTCCATCACATAAACTAGAAAAATATTTAACGAACATGTAAAAAAATATCGTCAAAACCATTGTTTGCAAAATTTTGACTGTAGGCAATTTATTTATCAATATAAAGGTTATTATTAAGCTTCAAATAGAGCAGAAATAAAAATAATAAAAATAATAAAAGACATGGGTGTCTTTTTAAAGTACTCGTACGTCAATACATATTTAATATTTGTCTGAGCAAAAAACTTCATATTTACTTCTGCAGTTAAAAGTTCTCTACCCTTCGCAATTTCCAAAATTTATTATGTTCGTAGTCATATTAAAAAATAAAATTTCAACAATTTTTAAAGGTAAGCATTTTTTACAGCGATTCAATCAACTCTAAGAATTTTTCTAGGGGCTTGAGCTTCACTTTAACAAACGTCGTTTAATAGTTTTTTTTTATGTCTTATAACAGTAGCAAAATCTTTTTTTTTTCGTCCTAGAGTGTGTGCCCGTAGTTTTTGCTTTATTATGTAAATCGTTACTTTATGTTCACGCGGACGATGTACGGCAGCAATGTTAATCATAGAGAGCATTTACGGAATGACAATTTTTTTCTCCCCATCGATATTGGCAATATCAATAATACATCTTACACAATTAACAATTGTTTCATCGTTTTCTTTAAATTCTCTACAATTTTTAAATCTAATTATTATTTTCAACTTGTATTCGTTAATATCGATCTTTTTTTTCTGCTATTATGAATTATTTATGTAGGACAATCTTAAGATTACTCGAGGACGTTTCTAAAAGTTGTAAAAAATGGTTTCTACATTAATCTGCTCAAACGATCGTTGTTTGTACACTTTGATTTAAAAATGTACTTTTTTATTAAAAATTTGGAAAGATCGCTATCCAAAAAGTTATTTTATACTTCGTACGAAGATTTCATTTTCACGTTTTAAATGCTATAAATAAGTCTAATTTATTAGTGAATGGGGTCAATCAACAAATGCAAGAGTATCTTCAAAGTACAAAAACGTAAAAGCACCCAAGGTAATGGTTTAACAATTTTGGAATGCATCAAAATTATTGTTTTTCTTAAAATTTGCAATATTTTCACGACAATTATGCCTGTTGGGATTTCATCCACCTTTTTTTAATGTAGCTACTTTCGTAAAATGTAGTTTGTCAATGCATTTTTATTATTCATCACTGAAGAAATACAACCAATATTGTACGAAATGAATTTAATTAATTTTATTTATTGTGAATATATCGATTATTTTTATAATCTCATTTTCATTTATTTGTCGTAAATTTCTGTGAATATCAACCTAGTGTATATCAGTTTTAAAAGATAATAGTTGTTTAAAAGAGCTAACTGTATTAAAAAATAATAAATACATATTAACATTACGTTATTAAATTTTAAAAGCTATTCTACAAATGTACAAAAAAAGTACGAATTTAATACTACGATATACGCAAATATTCTAACAATATCTATAATTTTTTTTAATTAAAATTTTATTTCGATATTTAGCACTTTTTGTCAAGGATTTATCGTGCCTACTTTTATTGAGTCAAACCATTCGCAACAACACTTTTTATGTACTATCTTATCATGTTAATGGTGCGTTTTAGCTTTGAAATGTGACGGATCGTGCCCGTAATTTTTAAGAATGACGAGTACTTTTAATTGAATTTAAAAATAGTTTAGTCAAGCAATCTCACTACTTTTCAATAACTGAATTTCTTCGCTTTAGATCCCTAAACTTGAAACATGGTTTAAATATTTTATTCTTTTTTTTGTCCATTTAGCTTATCTATTGTTTTGTAATATTTTATTTCCATTATGGAAAAATTACTAAACCATTGTCACAGCCTCACCAGCAAATCCTATTCGGTAAAATGTGAATTTAAATCTTAAAAAAAAAGAACGAGAAGAAGAAAGAGCATAAGCGACGTGCTTTACTTAATTGTATATCACGAAATCTAATTAATGCTATTTTTACGTCAGTTTGCTTCTTTCAATATTTGAAAACTATTTGCAAATTTTAAAGCCATTTTTAACAAATTGTATTTCTATTTACAAGGATCTTACTCGGCTTATATCAGCGGGCTGTCGTCAAAGTTATTTTTTGTTTACATTTGTAGATTAGCTTCATTATTGGCTAGCTCTGCGCTCATCACGAATGAACTCCATTCATTTCCGATGTCTCTTTACAGTCTTGTATTGATAACTGTGCTATTTCATTCACCATTTCGTCTGCTGAACTTTCTGACGACTTTTTCAAAATCGTGTATCCTAAAATTAATAATCGTTCAATGTGAATCTAATACGTGAAAATCATGTAGGGTAATTTTTTTTAACAAACCTTGCGTCTCTTCATGGTCATTGGTATGATTTTTGGCATTCCCTTTAACTTGTCCGTTCGACTTTTGCTTTCTACCAGTACCAGAGTCATCACTACTAGCATTATTCCCTTGGTGTTTTTTAAATACACTTTTGATGATGCTATTTACAGTAGATTGAGTACGTTTTGTTGGGCTACTCGTGTTATGAAGCCTTTCTTCATCTTGAATCTTTTCAGTGCCAGACATTTGTTCAAAATCTGTCCTTACGCCATTTTTTTGACTTTTATTATCTTTCATCCAGGACTAAAAAAAAAATACACTAATTATAGATTTTATTTAGCAGTAATGGCAAAATTATTAATGTTTCATACCTTAGTAATCTTCACACCTCTTTTTTGTTTTTGATTATGATGATGTTGTTGGTGTTTTGTTTCTTTTGATTCTTGCTTGTGTGAATCGGAAGACGATTGTGGCGCTGGGGTTTTTTCTACAGGCAGATTTTTAGCTTCTTTTGAGTTTTCGGGGATATCTTTTGTAACGACAGCATTTTTTAAGGCTTCAGTTTTTTTCGACGTTACATCGTTCGTCGAATCTGTAGGCTTCTTAACTTTAATTTTCCCGTCTTCCTCATCAAGATCCGTTACTTGATGTTGATTTTTACTATTAACCTCAACATTTTTATCTACTTGCCTCGAAATCATTTCGGGTGAACCAACTTGATAATTCGATTTATTTTGTTTCGCGGTATCTCTTTGCAGAACCTACGATAAAATAATTAAATTGAAATTGATAAATTGATCAAGCACTAAAATATAGACATCAGTTATACAAACTTTGACTGTAGAATTGCTACATTCAAGATTGTCATTAGATTCTGTTTGGGCTCCCACCTGAATAACTGAGTTTCCTGTCGTTTTTAAGTGCGTGGGTGAATTATTTAATCTCTTATTTTGACTAATTCCTCCAACAACCTTTGATGGCCCCTGCTGCTGTTGCTTCGACGAATAATTGTATAATCTCTTGCCAGTATTCATTGGAGGCTGCTGTTGCTGTGGCTGATTCATAACACCCATTGCTGGACCTTTGTACAAAGGAGCTGGCATAGGTTGAGCTATGTGCATTTGTTCCTGCTGATGTTGCATTCTGTGAATATCGACGTGCATTTGGTTCTCAGGTGGCCTATGAGGAGGTGCTTGCTGATTTATGCGCTGCGAATGCTCCATTTGTTCGATAAAGTATTCATGGTACATGTTCGGCATGTACCTGCTATTCTGTAATTTTAAAAGAAAAAAGAAATAGTATAAATTTATGAATATGAATATGAATTATAAATGATTTGGCGGCGAGAAATCGCTTACCTGACCGCTATAATTTGGTCCCACATTCGCGTTGACGTACTGCGGCACCATTTGTCGCGGTAACCTTTGAAAGTGATACGACGCAGCTGTGTAAGGTGGACAGTTCTGTTGCTGTGGCGGGGGCGGAGGTGGTATCTGTTGCTGCGGCACTGGCGGTGGTTGATTCGGCTGCTTTGGCATAGGCTGCTGCGGCAGCGTCCTACCGCGCTCGCGATAATTGTAACCCTCCACGTCACCGCGCGGATTGTTGGTGTTGTTGTAAGCCATTGGCATACGATTCTGCTGATACACTTGATCGTTGGGATTCATAGACATCGCAGCATTCGCTTGGGCGTAGGCGTATCTTTCGGTGTAGCTCGCATGCTCATTCGGAGGAGGTGGAGGAGGATGATTGTACATCATATTGGGTTGTGGATATTGAGGTGGCTGCTGCATCATGTATGAGTTCTGCATCAAATCGACCATGCTTGGCATTTGATTTGGAATTGGCGGCGGAGCTTTGTGAAGCTGCGGTATTGGCGGTGGTGGCTTATTCAACTGTGGCATCTGAGATAACAATGGTTGAGGAGGCGGTGGTTGAGATAATAATGGTTGAGGAGGAGGAGGCTGGGACAGCAATGGTTGGGGTGGTGGTTGAGATAGTAATGGTTGAGGGGGAGGAGGCTGAGGTAGCAATGGCTGGGGTGCTGGTTGAGATAGCAAAGGTTGAGGAGGAGGCGGTTGAGAAAGCAATGGTTGAGGAGGTGGTGGTTGAGGAAGTAAAGGCTGTGCTTGAGAAATCATAGGTTGAGAAGATGGAACTTGTTGGGCGTGTGGTTTTTGAATTGTGTTTGGTTGAGATTGCTGATGTTGCAACTGCTGATGCAAAGGCTGATGCAGTGGAGATTGTTGATTTTGTGGTTGTTGTTGAATTTGCTTTGACGTCTGCTGTAGCACTTGATTTAAAGGTTGCTGTTGTTGCCCTTGATTTTGTTGCTGCATTTGTGGCAATTGCTTTTGCTGAGGCTGTTGTTGAACCGTTTGCTGCTGTGGCTGTTGTTGCTGCTGCTGCTGTTGCTGTTGCTGTTGTTGCTGCTGTTGTGTCTGCTGCTGCAATTGTATTTCTTGTGCATCTTGTGGTAACAACTGATGCTGAGACTGCTGTTGCTGTTGCTGCTGCTCTGAAGATAACTCATATTGTGGTCGAGATTGACCAACATCTACCCAAGTTTCTTGTTGCATAGACATCAAAGTTCCTCGGTCTCTCTGATTTTGTACAGCGATCCATACCTCTTTTAATTCACCAGTAATATCACGATCTTTTAAAATTTGATAAAGGCGATTGAACACAATTCCTTTGTTCATCGACTCAACAAAATCTAATAAAACTTCTATTAAATTTGATTGATCCTAGAATAAATTTAAAAAGTATGTGAACACAAATATTATTATAAAGAAAGTAAAATATTTTTTCACCAGAATATTTACCTCTTTGTCCTTAGCATTCTTTCCCCTTATTTTAAGAACTTCAGGATTTGCAATAACGGCAAATATACATGTGTTTTTATCCTCCGTTCTTGGCGGAGTCAACTTCATACCACCATAAAGAGGCAGGGGTTGATTAAGATTAGCAGGCATATCCACTTTATCCCATGCCAAAACATTTATGTAACAAGGTATAGGAGAACCCTAAACAGAATTTATCGTTACAGTAATAAAATCACTCTATGCGATTGCAAAAATTTTGGCTGGAGCAAAAACTCACCTGAATGTAGTCCTGTATACACATGTGTGGCTGGGGTGGATTTTTAAAGTTCCTAGCGCCGTTGCGCTTAGTCCTCGGTGGTGCCCCTTCACTCATTTTTGAGTGACCTGCGATAAACAAAAAACGATCTTACTACCTACGTAAATAATTGAAGTCTATTTATAACATGCAAATTCTTCCATATAATAAGATAGCAAAGGAGACAGAGTGTATTGACGCATAAAGGAAAAAAATAAATAGAACGTGACACTAGAAATTTTATAAGAAAACGAATGACTGTTCTCTTTCGAATCACGATGCACGCACACGCACAGACACTCGACATTTTTCTGTCACACCAAGCACAACGAATTGGCGTCGATTTTTCCATTCCTTTCTTCGTTCTTTCGTTAATTGTTGATGATGAATACTTACTACGTTTCATCTACAGGTCGCGCGTACGTGAACGTTCAGCCCCACGGTGACGACTATGAGCTCGTCGTCGTCCTGATCTTATCCTCGTCCTTCGTGGTCGTCGTTGCTGATGATACGTTGACAACGACAACATATAAAGTCGAGTATCAACGCGCTACAATTAGTTCTCTCCTGTTTTTGTCACATATACAATTAAACATGCAGCAGCGCGAGTGTCCGCAGGCTTGTAAGCTTCTCTCTTGTCTTGTGTGTAAACACTTGCAACACAAACACATACGGCGGGCACTGTGAACGGCGTGTTTCTGGGTGTTTTTATCGAGCTCGATCTATTTTCTCCATGGACTCTTTCTATCTCTCTCTCTCTCTCCTTGAATAACGCCGAAGACGTTTAGGCTCTCGTTATCGAATCCATCGGGCCTAATGAAGCACACGATTATGAATCAGCCGAGAGCGTGTGTGTGTGTGTGATCTGTCTGTTCGGCCGGGTAAATAATAGACAGTGCTGATGAGTGTATATGCAAGCACAGGCAGCAAGTAGTAGTAGTATAGTAGTAGTAGTAGTAGTCTCGCATTTGACGATACACAGTACATAACCTCTGCCCGAGAACTCTCTGCGCTCTCTCTCTCTCTCTCTCTCTCTCTCTCTTTGTGCAAATTTCTCTATGTCGCTGTTTCTGGTTTTTCTGGTTTTTATGCCTCTCTGCCCCGTTGTTGTATAGCTTATGCGCTTCCAACCCATCCAGGACCAACACGGATAGATACGGAGCAAGAGAAGAGAAGAGAGAGAGAGAGAGAGACGAAGAAGAGAAAGCGAAAAACACACGTTTATACACACACGCGCACAGAGGCAGAGAGAGAGAAAGAGAGAGAAAAAAAAATATTACAATTCACATTGCCCTGCATAGCCTCATTGTGTTCGAGTTATTATTATGTACTTGTCAAGATATCGAGATATACATTATAAAATCGAAAGAGATAGTGGAGTATACGTGCGTGTGATTGTGGGTATGTGTGTGTACACTTACATATATACATCTACTACACAGCATAAACACAAACTGTATACAAACGATGTTGAACGATTGTGGAGTCTCTCGAGCGCGAGGAAAGAAAGAAAGAGCAAAATCGTCCAACACTTTATGTATATCGCTGAGTAGACAGAGAAAGAAAGATAGAAAGAGAGAGAGTGAGATTCTGCGTGCGAAATATAAATCCTTACCTCGCTCGATAGCGCAGCACACACAGACGCTGGCAGCAGGGCACTTGTGCCTGCAGGCAGCAGCCAGGCTCTGCTGATCCGTCGCAGTCACGATGTGCACACGAGGATATCAATCGCACTGTTTAAATTTTGCAATCGAAGGAGATAGACGAGGAAGTACAAGCGATGCGCTACCAGCAAACGCGAACGCACGAGGCAGAGCTGCTGATCGGCTGCATACATGTATACGCGCGATTGCAAATGTGTGTCGTCGACCGTCGGTGTGTCCGTGACTGTGTATACGTTTGCAGTAGCAGCAGCAAGCACTCGCGAAAACGAGCTGGAGTTTTAGCTGCCACTGTAACTTTTTTTATATACAATAAAAGTAAAGTATTAAAGCGGTAGCAGTACTGCCTAACACGGCTACTACTATATGCACTGACATACACGACGACGCGTAGGCAGTTCGCGAATGTTATAGGCACACGTACATTTGCAGACTCTGCAGAGAGTGTAGTTGAGTTAGCTCGCTGCTGCTGCTACTCTCGCTACTTCTCTCTTTTTTCTGCACGCTCTTTGCTCTTTGACACACGAGTGTGCGAAGCGCAAAAAATTTTCGCTCGACCCGCACAGCACACAACCGCTCCGCGTGCAGCGTGCGAATCAAATTGCTCGATCAATTGGTTTTTGCTCCTCGCGATTTTTAAATGAACGAATGAGCCAAATGGAACAGTCGAGCGACTGCGGTAATTGCTCTTTCTCTTTGTCGCATCGCGAGCTCACTATTTGTGTTCATTTTAATGAAGTACTTTGCGTCGTATCTCTTCTCTTTTTTTACTAGCTCCAAAAGGACGGATCATCGAGCGTGTGCCTGTGTGCGCGTGTGTCTAATTTTTGCACAAAACAGTTATCGATAAACGAAAATCGCCCATATACCGTTTATATTATCTTTGCTGCTGCTGCTGTTCGCACAGTACTGCAATCGTCACAAGAGTACATTACGCGTGTTTATATAAAGGGAAGCGCAGCAGCACACGAACGTCGCACACACGGACATTCTCTCTTTCGCACACGCCGAGCGAGGCTGCTACGGACTTACTGCTGCCTCGCGTACTTAACTATCCGCTGCTGCTGCTGCACACTGCATTGCATTGCGCGAATGATAGTGGTAATGCACACCTCGATATAAGGGGGCTCTTTGCTGCTGCGTGGTGTATAAAAATACAAGAGTGGGGAGGGTGAAGGAAAGAGAGTGAGATGCTGCGCAAAAATATAAAACTATGCTCACGCAGCCTCAGCCAGTAAGAGCAGAGACAGCAGCGGCAATGCATTTTACACTGGTAATATATCGCTGCAGCAGTGGAAGCGGTGTGCAGTCGGGAGAAACGAGAAAAATGCATCGTGGGTGCAGACACACTGTGCTCTATGCATAATGCCCCTTTCCCCTCTCATTCTCCCCGCGTAAGTACATCGCTGCATATACATGAGATTGACAGCGAATGTTTACTGCTGCTGCTGCTGAGGTTCCATATAGAACGGGGGAATAATAATACAGCAGCGTGCGTTGCTGCACGATTTCGGAGTGCAAAGATCGACGCGTGTTGGTCCGTCCGCTGCTGCCATCTATGCGCGGTACATTGTCGGCGCACGTTTAAAGTGCATCGTATCTCTCGTTGGTAAGCGAGAATTACCGCAACATACCAAATCTTCCAGTTACCAGGCCAAAAGTCCCTAGGAAGTAACAGATGCATTGCCAGGTTGATTTGAACCTGCAGCGATGCTCTCGCAAGCCCGTCGTCGTACAGCTGCGGTGCTTAAAGTAATTAGGCTTCAACAACTTAGCACTCGTAATCATTTTTTACATCTCGTTTTTTTTCTCTTTTGCCTTGGCTCGATTAACGTGCCCTTCGCGCGTTCTAATTTCCACACGAGCCGCGCGATAACGAGTGCACATTTCAATCGACGTAGTTCCCCCCGCGATACCTTGTGTACATCCGAATTCGAGCAATTCGTATCGTAAGTACATTCGAGCTTATACCTGTAGGTGTGCATTCATATGTACCGGTCAGAGAACGAGAGAAAGAAAGAGAGAATGAGAGGAGAGAGAACACATCCACATACTCAATGATCTAATAGCATGTTATTATTCGCGCGTTTTGTGTGCTGCGAGCGCGAATTGTGGCGGCCGAGGCGCGAGAAATGCGTGCATGTGTGTATGTGCAATTGACGAGGCATATAAATATAAAATAAAAAAGAAGGAGATGACGACGAAAAAAAGAAAGAGGCAAGAGGAGCGCGCGGACAACGAGGCAACACAAGGGCTGTGTGTGCTGCTATATGGCACAAAAGGGGTATGATTATGACGCCTCGCGGGCCTCTCAAACCGAATAACAAGCCGCGAAAGACTCGAGAGAGAGAGAGAGATACCGATCGATGATATTAATAGGCGCTAACTATATAGCTGCGCGCGCGAGAGGTGCATTGGCAGTGCGCTGCACACATACGTACACACACACACGCACACATGACCAAGCAGCGAGAAAGAGAGCGAGTCCGTATTATGAAGCGCGAAGCTTCGGGTGATTCGCGAATTTATATATTTGTAATGATTCGATTTTTTTTTACAACCGTAATTTTTCGACATACTTTCTTTTCATTTTATTTTTATCTCTCACCCCCGCCGACGCATTTCGATGATTTTCTTTAGCAATGAGGTGCTATACACGATTGATTATAATTACTCGGGCGTTACGGACGATATACCGAAATGACGTGGAGTATTCACGCGCCGCACGAGGACAACAAAACGCTTTACAAGTACTTCGACTTTATATGTACAAAGTGTTATATCGTCGCGAGGCGAACGATCGCGCGCAGGAACGAGCATTAAAAGGCAATTTCACACCGTTACCTTTAGCCCTTTTTTTACCTTGAAAAAAATATATGAAAAGAGAAAAAAAAACGTAAAAAAAGTCAAAATCGATCGGCTCGAAGCTTAATTCGCGCTCTTCCCACACACAAGTACACACATGCAACAAACACGTGTGTGTATGTGTGTGTGTTACGAGGCAGACAAGGTGTGCGCGCGAGAAAGAGAGGTAAAAGGTGCAACGTTTTAAATGCGTCGATCGACGTTCGCGCGCGAGTAAGTATTATGCAAGCTCGTTTCGGGGGAAAGAAAGAGAGAAGATATACACGTACGTACATAATAGACATGAGAAAAGAGGAATTTCTTTCGTTTTACTCGAAAAAGTAAGAGAGCTTTCAGAAACAAATGTGTGTATGAGAACGGAGGCAATCCATACGAAAATACCGTATACGCCTGATAATGCGTATTCCAATGGAACGAGCATACATATCCATAAATTTATAAGAAAGTTTTCAACAAAAAAATCATCATCGATATTACCCAACGATAATAAAGCCAAGCGATGCATCATGCTAACTGCAGCTAAATTCTTATCGCTAATATGTGTACGTAGATAGCTTCTTGCTGTTAATTTACACACGTATAATGCGCGCTTGCACACGTTTATCCACGTACAGCGAGAAAGAGAGAGAAAGAGCAGATCTTACAAATTGATTACAAATACGCAATCCCACCCGCGATTGAAAATTCATCGTCTCTCTCTCTCTCTCGGGCGCGAGGCTGTAGATACACTCTGCACAGTCCCGAGTGTCAACGCGTTTCGCGCGCAGGGCACGTGCTCCTCTCTCTCTCTCTCTCTCTCTCACCTTCTCGCGATCCTCTATACACCTTTAAAGAACGCGAGAAACAGAATGAGAGAGATGAAACGAAAAGAAAAAGAAAAGAAAGATCTTGGCGATAGCGAGAGAGCTGTATAGGGAAGGATTTCGATATAAATCCCCAAAGTCTCTGCGCTATACGGCACGGCACATATACATATAGGCATAGCTTTCGCGCGAACAAATAACGACAAGCCTCATTACTATAAACACGTCTCGAGCTGCTCGCGCGCGCGACCGACCGAATCCCGTGAGCCAGGCGCTGCGTGTGGCTCGTTTTCGCGACTTATATACATGTATATTTTTCGCTCCTCCGTCCTTTTTGCCCGTGCCCGTTTGCGTGCCGTATGCATATATGTATGTATGCACTGTTAAAAATATTTACATTAAAATTAATGTAAAGGCGGAGGGAATTTTTTACCTTCACGTAGATACACTCAAATTTTAAGGAAAGCATTATAATTAATGTGATTTGAATTAAATTTACAAATTTTATAAATTTTTAAATTTAATTCATTTAATTTACATTCATTTTCGTGCAGTTTTTTGTCACTGATGTGTGTATATGTAGAGTGAGTTTTCGCTAAACCGGCACGGTAAATACTATTCAAATAAACTAAATTTATTGTGGATTATCTTGAGGATACAGTCCGCAAAAGCGATACTTCAATGGGTTTAATATTTCAAAAGTTATTAAAATGTTTTTTTTTTAATTTTTTTTTCTATGTTTTCCTCTGATTGTTTTAATGGTTGAAGTGTGTTTTTAAAATGTTTGAGCAGTGATTTCGAAAGATTTCAGTCAAGTTTTAATTTAAGATCAAAAAAGGTAGGATTCATCGATTATTTCAAGGTTTGAAAAATTATTTTATTAGCATTCATAAATAAAATAGAAACGATAATTTTTTCATGAGAAAACTCATCGCCAATGATTTGACAGCGGTTTATTATTGAAATTACATAAAATATGTACAAAACTATTTATATACTTTTGATGTAAGTGTAGAATTTCTTTTAACATTCGTCAAGTATTAGCTTTGCTTTTTATTTTTTGGTCAAATTCGAAATTTAAAAATTTTGAATCAGATTAAATTTATTTCAGAACTAATTTTTAGTATTTACCATTCAAGGACGTCACATTTTTCAGTCGATTTCAGACTTTATGAAGTAGTAATAAGTATGGGATTCACTAATGTTTCTACGATCAAATTTGTTGTTAGTCAAATGGAAAAACTTTACTCTCACGAGCGAACCTAATGTGGTTTATTAATTTACGTTCGTTGGCCAAAATTTCATCGTATCTATCATACACTTAATTTTCATAGTTCATCATCTGCGTATATATTTTTTGGAAGATGGATGAAATTGGGCTCTTGTGTGAACCACTCTCTGTCCTTATCCAATAGGTAGTTGTTGGAAATTTCATCTGTAATTGCTGTTTTTTGGTTTCTGCTCAAATTCGAATGGGTCTCAGACTTATTTTCGCATGTTTTGTTTATTTCACCCACACAACCTTTGGAAATTATTTCTGGGAGATCAATTGAAGTAGACACTTGTGAGCACCAATTATTGCTTGTGTATGATTAGTAGTCTTTGTGAATTTCATCTGAAATTATTGATTTTTGGTGTCTTCTTAAATTCGATTGAGCCTTAGATTTGTTTTCGCCCTTTTTGCGTGAGTCATCTTTGCGACCTTTATGTACTGTCCTTTGGTGCCTCAACAGATCTGATTTATATCCAAATTTTCTCTCGCATTTGTCACAATTGAAATCTTTACGACCTTCGTGTACTGTCTTTTGATGTGAAAGCAAATCCCATTTCTGTCCAAACTTCGTCTCGCATTTATCGCATACGTAATCTTTGCGACCTTCGTGAACTGTCTTTTAGTGTCGGAGCAAATGCGGTTTTTCTCCAAATTTCTTCTTGCATTTGTTACATAAGTAATCTTTTCGACGTTCGTGTATTGTTTTTTGGTGACTGACCAAATAAGATTTCGCTCCAAATTTCTTTTCGTACTTGTAGCAAGCGAAATTTCTGCTATCTTCATGCACTGTCCTTCAACAAATCTGATTTAATTCGAAATATCTTCCCGCAACTGTTGCACTCATTATTTTTATCTTGTGAGATAACTGGACCGGAATTCTTTTCACTTTTATCCATTTCAACGCCTAAATTAAACTATTGATTCTTCTATTTAGAGCCACAGATTATGTACTGTATCGTCGTTAAAGACTACACTTACACTAATTTGTTTGGCTATAAATATGTTCACTTATCAAGGGACCGTATCCAGATTGTTTATGTTTATATTGTTTACAATTGAGTCACGGATTTATCTATC